AGAGCTGTCCCAAAAAGCTTTTGGGTTAGCAGTAGTCATGATATATCACACCCACTTCATCCCCTCTGTATGTGTCCAGGCCAGGCTCTTGGAGCTGAATTACCAGCTAAGCAACAGTCTGAGCCCTTGGAGGCTGCTGAAGATGCCCTTAGCTATCAACTCTGAGCCTTATTTAGCCCCACAACACCATCCTTTGAGGCCCACCTGCTGGCAGTCTCCTTTACCACCTGCTGTGGGTGAAAATGATCCCTCAGGGATTGCAGTGTTGCCGCAGGGAAACTGTCTGCATTGCTCTCCATATAATTAAGCACATACTCATCAGCATCAGTGATAACAAACTTGTGGCCAAACACTGGGGAAGAGGCATTAAAGAAAGAAGTGTTACTTGTGTTTCAGCATGGTTGTAAGTCACCCAGGAAGAAGCATGATTCTTCTCTTGTGGCTGGGCTCAGGTTTGAGCCAGCTCTGCTATTTGTTTCACATGTTGAAGTGAGAATAGTTTCACTGATTCAAAGGTTCAGACATTGACAGTAACAGAGTTATATCAAAGTACACCAGCTGCTGATCTGGAAACTCAACTGTGATCAGACCCAGAAGCTACAGATCTCTCAAGTGAAGGAAGGGATTTACACTGTCCATGCAATAAATGACATATCAGAGCAGAGTATTGTTGATCCAGGCTGGATTTTACCTTCAATTGTAGAACCAATGGTGAAGTCAGAGGGCCCATAGTATGTGGGATTCTCTGCAGTAGAGCCTGGCTTGGCAACCCTGGTCTTTTTTAAGTATTTGCCTCCTGTGAGGCCAGAGTTTTTGACTGGGGGTTCATAGATGCTGATCGTGTCATCCGAGAGGAAATAAGAGAGGATGAAATGACGATTTCTGTCCTCAGGGCGCGGTGATTCCTAGAGGAAAGGTAGTGGGTTTGAAATAGAACATTTAAATCAGGTTTTTTTCCTTTCTGGGGTGCTTAGGAGTACCTAGTAACATGTTCATAAACATTCAGAGCTTGTAGGGTTTTGATAGCTGACTAAACAGAGCACTTTATATGCTGACATAGCATAACAAAGCCCTAGACAGCATCAAGTATCTGAATTTCACAGCTTACTTGTCCAGTCAAGCACCAGTCAAAATCTGGGCTGCAGTCACCAAGTATATTCAATGTTTCCACAGACTGAGTAATCCAAGAGAAAGGAATATCCTATATGGAATGATTCATCCCAGAGAGGCTGTAAAATTCAGTATTAAAGTTACATTTTTCGCTATACTGAGAGCCTGAGAGAGTTTGGTTCTGCTTCAGCTCTTAGTCACAGGAAGTCACTCCCCTGACACACCAGTGGGTTTATCTGCCTCGTTTAAAATGAAGTGGATCTGAACTCGTCACCTGTGACCTTTAGGGAACTCCTGCACAATAGGGAAAAGAAACCAGCCCTTGCTCACATGCAGTGTTTGGAGAGGGCAGGCACGAGGCAGCACAGGAAATGCCATTGCTGCTGCTGGAAGTGCCAGAGGCTCCTTGCATAAACCAACCATAAAGCTGCCACAAAGGCCAGGGCCTAGATGCTGTTGTGGGTGGAAAACACCATTGCTGTGGACTCCCCACTTGGCTGCCCTGCCAGGACAGCTCCTTGTTGGCTGTTTCATCCAGGACTGCCCTGGAGAAGGACAGGTGCTGGAGCCAGCAGCAGAGACATCAAGCTCTGGCTTATGGCAGTGGTTTCAAGCAGGCAGAGGCACAGTGCCCAGTGCAAGGCTGTTTCAGTCAGGGCCATCTGTCACGTGCTGATGGCAGTGTGAGTTTTTCCATAAATGGCTGTGGGTTTGTAGCCTGTCTGTTTTGTACTTTCTGGCCTTGTTTTTTTTTCCCTACCTTTGCATGCTGCTAATTGTCACAGCAAGTACACAACGAGCCCACGGCATCCCCTGCGGGGCCTCCTGTTGGCTTGGGGAACTCTCTTTTCCCACTGGCACAGAGGAGAATATGCTAACAGCCTTGTCTGAGCAGGCTGCTCCTCCCATCCTCCTGACTCTACAGCACGAGCTGGCACTATTCCACCCAGGAAAGCACTTACCAGGGCCACCCGGTACCGCAGGATCTTGAGGTTATTCTTCAGCATCTTAATTACATCTTTCCGTGGAGGCTTTGGAATCAGAGAAAGGCAGTTCTGGAGAGAGTCTTCAAGGATGCCAAAACCATTGTAGGGAGGAATTACCTGCATCCAGAGGAGATACCAGACATAAACAGTGGAAACTAAGAACAAGACGAAGTTTGCAAGACAGCTTATCAAAACCCATCAGATTTGGAAGGAGATCTTCCGTCACCAGGTAGCAAGAATTGTGACATCCTACCCAGCAGAGATGCTACTGGCCATGTGTTGGACTTAATGACAATATAAGAGAATCTGAAACTTAAAAAGCCATGGAATTTCTAGGAATAAAGAGACTATGTCTATATTAAAGAGTCATAGAATCATGGAATGGCTTGGAATGGAAGGGAACTTAAAATCATCTAGTTCCAACTAAACCTTCCTGTGCACAGGAACTCAACCATCTGTGTGGTTACAGTCTGTGGAAACATTGCAGTACCTGTGGAATTTTTTCAAGTGGTTTCTCCTTTATTTCCACTGGCTGAAAGTCTGTGATGCCAAATTTGTCATGATAGTAGTTTTTAGTGAACTTATCACAATCATAGATGAAGAAGGTGCGGCCAAGAAGGGTGATAGATTTCCCAACAGCAAAATCTTTAGGTGCATACCACTCCAATACCTCCTGATCAGAGATTTCTAACACACAGCTTGGGAAGTTCTCTAAGGACAAAGAAACAAAAGAAAAAATAAATTAATCAGGAAGATGTTACCATTTCCTAGTGAAAAGGGATATAAAAGCTATACAAATAGCTCCAGGGAGCTGTTGGCACTGCTGTCCTGCCACTGGTTCCCAAAAGATAAAGAATTTAGTGATCATTTAAAGAAATTTCCTTCGATCAAAAAAGATGACATTTGGAGTGTTCCCAGCAAAGATTTCTCCAGACTCAGTGTACCTCTGGCATAGCCACCACAGATGTGCCTAACCACCAGGACACTTCAGCACAGACAGATGTGTGTCCAACCTAAACTTACTTTTCTTCTCCGCAAAGGTTTTGGGCAAGCGTTGGCGTTTCATCAGTACTGGGAATGGGTCTCTCCCATCGTTTCTCTTGTAGACTTCCCGAACCTCTACTGTGTCATCTGCCAAGAAGTAATGGATGATGCAAGGCCGCCGATCACCAAAGGTGTTGTTGGTGTCATCCCATATGGCATAGAAGCGTAGGACCTGGGGCAGAGAAAAAATAGGCAAACATGGATCTTTTGATGCCACAGATATCAAACTCCTCACACTGAGTCAAGAGTTCCCCAAGGTTCAGCTCCTGAACAGACAGCCCAATAGTTACTAAGGCTAAACTGGCAGTAAACTGGCAGGTATGGCCCAGCTTGCAACCACACAGCCAAGCTGTATGCTCCGCTCAAAACAGGCTGAACATATCCAAAATGGCAATTGGATATGATCCTGGTGTGTGCTAGCACCTAGTTGATGGCCAGAAGATGTTTGATTGATAGCTGGCCAGGGACAACAGGCAAAACTCTGGTCATGTCCTGGCCCTGGCTTATTTTCTAGTAAAGATGTAGCCTATAGGGTTCCTTACATTGTTCTTAAATGAAAAGAAGATCCAGAGCAGGAGAGAGGAGAGTGCTAGTCAATTGTGTGCACAGGGAGAATTCAGTCAGAGCGAGTGGCATTTGTGATTGTCCATCATTGTCTGCTCTGGTGCCTGGCATCAATATTTTGAGAGAAAGGAGTGAATGCAGCATGCCCATCTGTAATAGAACTGCATCTAGCTGCTGGCTTCCCAAGGCAAGTGGCTTATCTCACTCCAACAGAAAGCAAGAAAGTAATGGATGATCTAGAGCACAGGCCCTGCAGTACAAAGAGGAACTGTTTACAAGGCACAAAGCCCAGAAAAAAAACCATAAAAGGTTTTGTGTCTCACTAAAGCCAAGAAAGGAGCAAATCTGGAGCCTGTTCAGCAGACTGAGATGTTTTAGAAGGAGTGAGGTTGCAGACACTCACAAGACTGTTTCAATAGCATATAAAGTCTGTAATCACAGAACCATTTAGGCTGGAAAACATCTGCAATATCAAGGTCCAACCTTTGACCTACCTCCACCTTGTCAATTAAACCAGAACACTAAGTCCCATGTCCAGTCATTTCTTGAACACCTCCAGGGGTGGTGACTCCACCACCTCCCTAGGCAGCCCCTTCTAATGCCTGACCACCCTTTCCATGAACAAATTCTTCTTGATGTCCAACCTGAACCTCCTCTGGTGCCACTGGAGGCACGCCCTCTCATCCTGTCACTAGATGCCTGGGAGAAGAGACCAACCCCTACCTTGCTACAACCTCCTTTCAGGGAGTTGTAGACAGCAAGAAAGTCCACCCTGAGCCTCCTTTCCTCCAGGCTAAGTACCCCCAGCTCCATCAGCCACTTCCCATACAACTGACACTCCAGACCATTCCCCAGCACCATTTCCCTTCTCTGGACACTTTCCAGCCCCTCAATGTCTTGCTTGCAGTGAGGGGCCCAGGAGTGGACACAGCACTCAAGGTGTCTCACCAGTGCTATGTGGGTAATGACACAGTAATGTGAGTAATCACCAGCTCTCTCACCTTTGTGTCATAGGTCAGAAACTGTCTGAAGGGGTCAGGACCTGACGGTGGGATATGCTTGGGCACAGGCATCCGACGCAGTTCTGTGTAAGGATCCGAAACCATTTCCTCTGGAGGGTTCAGTGCAATTCCCTGGCTCTCCAGGAACACCTAGGAAGGTCATCTGAGGTGTTAATGCTGTTGTGACTTCTGAAGATAAGAGGTGACTAGAGATTAAAGGTGGGCTGAGATGAGTGAGGTCAGAATATTGCAAGTTCATTCTCACAGAGACTACTGCAACAGCAAATAGAACAGATGACAAAGATATCTGTTTAAGCTGCTTCTTAGCTTTGCTTACCCTTTAATTCATCAGGGTAGTACTGTCCTCAACATCCTAACTCAGATTTTACTTGAGCACAGTTTTCCTTGGCCTTAGGGCTTTAAATGGAAGACAACTGTCAGTTAATGTCCTTCATTTATGTAAACGATGAAAAAGATTTAATTGGTATTTAACCACAGATGTAGTCAGACTGAATTTGCAAGAGACTCAGGGCTGTGTCAGACAGTGGAAGTTAGTGTTACCCACACCAAGACCCTTCAGGCATGAGGATATGTGTCAATGGCAGCTTCATTCTGTCTTTCAGGAGTACTTTCCCCACAGAAAGAGTGCAATCTGCTTGTTTATAAAGGGATTTTTTGCTTACCTTGGATGCATCAACAAACTCTAGGATGTTACTTGTGTACTCACATCAGTCACCCAAAACAGACCCTGAAGTCAATGGACTTCTTCCCTGTTTGGCCTTGGGAAGTGGTCCATGAAAACATTCAGCCCAGGAAGCACCTATGTAAACTTCTCCAACAGGAATGTGAGATTCCCCCTGAAGACTCACAAGGCAGGTTCATATTTTGGGCCTCACTGTTTTCTGGTCTGGAGGATGCAGGTTAGTGATAAACGGACTAGTGGCCTTGAGATGTTGACCCACATAGCTTATTCCATGTTTTTCATCACCATTAACGTGAGGACCATCTCTTCATTTGATGTGAACTGATTTTAACAGCCATCCAGTACCAGCAGAGCTGGCCTCACAGCCACATATATACCAGAATATTATACATGCTTGAGGACATTCCTGGGCACTGAAGCCAACTGGGAGGAAAAAGCCTGGATTTAAACTCTCAGAGCCTCCAGGACAGGTTGGCTGCACATAACTCACCTGTCTGGAATGGTCTCTGGCGCATTCTAACTCCTGGACTGGAAGCATAGGAGCTGACCAGGGCTGAGATTATACTGGGGACAATCTAACAGGATAGCAGTGCACTGGTATTTGTTATTATTTGTTGGATCATGATTATCACATTTACTGGTACAGAGATAGCCAGAAATAGAAAAGCAGGCAGTAAGCAAGCTCTCTTAGAAAGGTCAGTTCATACCATGATTCTCAACCCCCAGATCATGGCTTGGCTGTAGGTAAGTGCAGAAGTACTGATGGCATTCCCTTCCCCTGTCCTTAACAGAGGCGTATGAAATCAGAAAAGAGTTAGGATCAGCAATTTCCCTCTCATGCATGCACAATGTTCTATCTGGACTCTAAGCAGTTAAACTGTTGTACACCCAGACATGAATTTGTACTGCAAGAAGCCCTGAGGACAAAGAATGGACTCCCAGCAGCTCTGGAAAAAAAGTATTGACCAGTTAACCTTCCCCAGCAAATACCATACCCCATGGACTTGAAGGAAGAAATCTACACAAAAAGTAAAATGAAAGATTGCAAGCAACCATATTCTGAAAGCTACAGATGCAGACTACTGGACTCTAACATGTCTGTTCGCCTGTAATTCCTGGGATTCTTACTATGAGGGCTCTGTATACAAGGAACACACCTTTGTGAAGGAGTCACAGTTGACTATGCGGTATGTCCTGCCATACATGGTGATGTCCATGCCCAGATTCAGATCCTTCCAGTGGTAATAATCCCCTTGGTCGTTCTTGGGCATCCGGTGGCGTTTGACAAGTTTGCCTTGAAGAAGACCAGAGTTCTGCACAACAGGCTCAATGACACACATGCTGTCATCTTCCAAGTAGTAGTAGATACCCACTTGGCGGATCTGGTAATTGGCTCTTGGAAAGAGAGGATCATTTTCCTGAAAATAGGCATCAAACTTCAAAACCTGCCCAAGGGACAATATAACAAAGGGAGAGAGGAAGAAACAATGTGAACACCGTGGTTAGTCTATTAAGACCAATAATTTATTTGTAATTTGCTTTGGCAGTGCAAAGTTACTGGAATGGATTCTACAAAATTTTCAAAGCCAACTGTGGCCTAATCTGTGGGTGCTGGCAGAGGCACCATGAGGGCATTAATCCAATCTGCCTTTTACAAATTTGGTGTACACAAGGCAAGTGTAAAAATAAGAGCCTTTTCTCTACTCCTTCTTGATCATCTGCTGTTTAACCTACTGCCAAGTGCTTGGTTACTACCAGTAATCTGTTTTACTGACCGACACAACTCTATTGTTGTCAGTTTTGCAGCCCCTGATTTAAGGAAGCTATCAAGATATTTTAGTGGAGTTCAAGCACATCTGTGGATTTTAAAGTCTTCATGGGTCATCATTTCAAGGCCAGGTTGGATGGAGCTTGGAGCAACATGGCCTAGCAGAAGGTGTCCCTGCCCATGGCAGGAGGGTTGGAACAAGATGATTCTTAATCCCCTTTCAACGCAAACCATTTTATGATTGTATGATATCAAGTCACAACTATTCAGCACTGACAGCAAAAGCTGCTCTGTGCTGGAGAAACAAGGAGACAAATCAGCCAGTCAATCACAGTCCCTTTGCTTGGCAGAAGTAGGAGGAATATGCCCTTCAAGATCATTCAGTGCCCCTAAAAGGATGTAGGTGGCCAATCAGGCCCTATACACACCCAGCCTACATCAACCCAGGGGTCTGGCTAATTAAGTGATGATAAAGCCAGCAAGTTCCTACCAGTCAGCAAGTGCCTCACAAGGGACTGTGATGTCCCCAGCAGCACTGGGGCCCTGCTGCTGCTCTGGCTGGAAGGAAGGAGCAGAGAAGGATCTGATAGATTAAACAGCAATATCTACATTCCTCTGAAGGAACAGCCTCAGTAATTAACACAGCACATCTGTTCCCCAGACTGTCTCACAGACTGCTGGCTGCAGACTGCTTCTCCAGGCCTAGCAGTGTGCAAAGCTCTGCACATGCTGAGTTCTCTGAGCCTTGCACACTCTGCTGTGACTACTCTGTCCGTGGCTGTGGCTTGCAGGCTGAGATTGGCACATTTAAAATCAAGGGTCAGCTCAAGACTGCCTCAGGCAGACACAGAGCCACCTCCTAGTCTGATGTGATCACCAAGATGTAGCACAGGAAGTGTTAATGGAGCAATACAGGTTGTGACACGCTGTGGTGACCCACACAAGCATAAATAGATAGACCACAGCCAAACAGGCTATCTGGGTCCCTGCTGCAGACTGAGTTTTCCAGATACAGCTTAGTTACAATGTCAATATAGTTCTGGAAATACAAAAAGCCAACGCTGTGGCTTACAGAGCAATAAACTGGAACTTTTCAGAGTTAATCAAACCTCTTTTCCAAGCCCTGCTGGAAAAGCTCAGTGTAACTGGTGGGGAATGTCTTACATCTTTTACGTATTATAATCCTCTTCCCGAGCAAAGAAAGCCTCTTTCAGTCTGGGGTTCAGCTGTCTCTGACTAAGGGCTGTGGCATCTGAAAACTGCTGTAGCTGTCCCATGAACCCTGGAGCTGACTGTTTATGTCTCTGAATTTGGCCAGAGATATTCCTGGAATAAGCTTCTTTGTACCTTTTTGTCAAAAGTCACATATGCTGGAGTGAAGGGTGAAGGTGAAGGCTTCCTGGCTGGCCTGCAGGTCAGTGTGGGTTTCTGGGTGCATAAATCATCTAATTCAGCTTGAGACAGCTGGTTGGGATAGAGCTGGTCCTCGCCAATCTCCACTTTTGGCAGCCGGCAAAAGGCATATCCATTTTTGTAGCCCAGCGTCTGGGACCGATGAAAAGATGTTTTCTGTGGAAGGAAATCCAGCTGTCAAAATACTGCATGCACTTAGTAGATACAGCTACTGAAAGCACAGAAAAACAACAGTGAGAGTGCAATATCTAGAATGCCTCACCCCCCACACAGCATTTCATTATAAACTACTGCAGCAGTTATTTAAAATCAGACTTTACAGACAGGTCAAGGAGGCTGAAAAAAAGTAAGTGATTGGATGTATAAAGCATCAGAGTGAACTCAGACCCTAGCACTGCCACAGATTCCCCAAGAACTTAAATCACTGAATTTCCCTATTGCCACCATTCTCAGTGCCCATAATGGGGGGATAGCACTTTATCTGTCCTGGTATTTATCTCACAAACTCTTTGTTCCCTACTCTCTGTTATGGCAGTACAGAGCTCAGTGGGACCTCAGTTACAGCTTTATGACGCTCCCTTGACTGTTGTGCACCCTCTGTGTATTCCATTGTTATTTATTTTGTTAACCCTCTCCTGGGTGTGATACAGGACTTTCTTCATTGTGCTAAATCAAGGTCTGTCATGCCCACCAAACTGCAATTATGCAATGTACTAAAGCACATTAGCTGTTTCACCACCTCTCTTTGCAGTCATAGAACAGTTTGTGTTGCAAGGGACTTTTCAAGACTTTTAAAGGTCATCTAGTCCAACCCCCTGCCATAAGCAGGGACACTTTCCACCAGCCCAGGTTGCTCCAAGCTCCATCTAACCTGGCTTGGAACACTTCCAGGGATGGGAGCCACAGCTTCTCTGGGCAACCTGTGCCAGTGTTTTACCACCCCCATTGTAAAAAAATTCTTTCTTGTATCTGATCTACCTTCTCTTAGTATAAAACCGCTACTCATTGTCATATTGCAACATGCCCTGCTAAAAATGTTTGTCTCCATCTCTCTTGGAGCCCCTTTAGGCACTGCAAAAGGCTCTAAGGTCTCCTTGGAGCCTTCTCTTCTCCAGGCTGAACACCCCCAGCTCTCCCAGCCTGTCTCCGGGCAGAGGTGCTCTAGCCCTCGGAGTATCTCTATGGCCTCCTCTGCACTCACTCCAGGCCCCCAGCTCTCCCAGCCTGTCTCCGGGCAGAGGTGCTCTAGCCCTCGGAGTATCTCTATGGCCTCCTCTGCACTCACTCCAGGAGCTCCAAGTCGATGTTGGTGCTAAAGGCAGCTCAAAGAGCTGCACACTGGAGGAGTTTCCTTTCACAACTTCCCTTTCTTTAGACTTCAAAAAAAGCCTGTAGCAGACACTGTTGTTGTGTACACAAAACATTCTCCTCTAAGTTTCTAAGGAGAACTGATGATGCAAGAGGAATCCTTTTTTTCATATGGTATATACACCTCTCTTCCATCAGGAAGAATCCTTATGTTGGGATTTAAACAATTCAGGAGGCTTTTTTAGGGCCCAGCCTGTCTCCGGGCAGAGGTGCTCTAGCCCTCGGAGTATCTCTATGGCCTCCTCTGCACTCACTCCAGGAGCTCCAAGTCCTTCTGATGTTGGTGCCCCAGAGCTGGAGGCAGCACTGCAGGTGGGTCTCATCAGAGCAGAGGGGCAGAATCCCCCCTCACCTGCTGTCCATGCTATGGGGATGAGCTCAGGATACTGTTGGTTTCTGGGCTGTGAGTGCACACAGCCAGGGCATGTCCAACCTCTCATCAACTAACACCCCCAAGTCTTTCTCCCCAGGGCTGCTCTCAACCAGACCTGTTAATAGGACTTGATCTCTGTCAGCCAGTCCTGTTCTTGGCTGTTGAAGAATAGGGTCAGACTTGAGTGACACTGAGCTACTCCTCTTGCTGTACAGTGCACCACACCTGGTACCTCACCTGCACTCATGAAAGCCTTGGAGCTAACACATGCCTGGCTGGTCCCACTGAGCTTTCAACACTTAATGCTCCAGAGAAAGCAGGAGAAATTATGAGTCCTTGATAATAAAATCCCTTGACTTTTGCCAGGTAAAACAGGGTTGTACACATTTCTAGTGCAGAAAGAACAAGCTTCAGCTCCTTTTTCAGCCCCAGGCTTGCAGTCAGTCCGACCTCAGGCATGTAAACTGGTTCTCCTCCACCCCCTCCATCGCCCCTCATGGTTAAGCCTCTAATCTTATTTATACCTTCAAGGCCCCACTTGAATTTCACATAATTCCCTGTTTTCTCTTTAAACTGCTACTACAGATCTTGCAGTGGAGAAAGCAGTGAGGAAAACAGGTTCAGGTGAAAACGAGAGTTGACTGAAGACATCTCAGCAGAACCAAGGGAAAGCTATTGGAAAAATATTCAAGGAAAAGCAGGAAGTTTGTCTTTTATTTGAGCAATATCAGTGTTTGTCAGAAGTGTACAGGCTTTTAAGGGCCCACAGCTGCCTAAAGAAACACCTCATAGATTCATCAGTCTCCTGGAGTGGATAAGCTCTCCCAAGTGAGCCTGGATTCCAGATAACATCTCATAGTATCAGATGACTAATGCAAATTTAAAAGGGAAAACCCAGAAGGTAAACTCCTAATCTCAGTTGCTTCCAGTCCCTATCTGGAGAAATTCCACTGCATTAAGTCCTCCTTTGTGCCAAGTCTCTAACACTTCACACAAACACCATTCCCTCTCCCAGTGTCTGTGTTTCCCTGTCACGAAGCAATAACAACACTATTTGTTTGAACACAGAGGTTTCCTTCAGCACTTCTCAGCATTCATTTGGAGCACAAGTGTTGTGATTCCCATTTTATAGACTGGAAAACTGAGGCAAAGTGAGCTGACTGCAGTCACCATGCTCATCCTGATGAACACTGCCAAGCCATGCCTGGAGTTCAGATCTCCTTGAAACATCCTCAATAGTTCAATATTTCAAGTTACTCTAAAATAACAATCCACTCTGCTAAGTCCTGTGTTTCCTACATGCACACACAGAGCCCTGATGGAGTCAGTAGGAGCATTCACATGACTGCAGCAGGCAGGATTTTATGGATAGAGGAAATAACAATTTGCTAGAGGCATAAATTTGCATTGCAGATTTCCAAGATGTTATAAATGATCTCAAGGAAACAATATTACCTGATAATAATTCTGAGCTAACCTTTGTTACTGCATGATTATTTGTTAAGAGTAAATGACTCGTTACTGTTGGAGAACTCAATTGTCCCTGACTGAGGCCAGGTTGAATGGGCCTTGGAGCAACCTGGTCATGGAAGGCATCCCTGCCCATAGCAGAGGGTTGGAACAAGACGGTCTTTAAGGTCCCTTCCAACCCAAACTTTTCCATGATTCTGTGACAAGTAATTCTTATATACGAAGCTGAATGCATCCAGGAAATTTTCCCTGTTAAAGATGTTCTCCAGGGAGCCTGTAAATCCTTTGTGTGCGCAAACCAGGCATGAAACAACCTCCTCTCTGGCTTTTTGTGGGATTTTTTAGTGTACCAGAGAAATAAATGGAAGTATCAGTTCCCTGTGGTATTGTTTCCTCAAGAGGATGTTGGGAGGATTTGGGGATATCAGTTCCTTAGTGCATGAGTCACTGGGAATGGCGAAAAGGAGAGGTTGCTTCCTCATTTAGGTATCAGCTGCAGAGGATGAGAATGAGACTTCTTCTTCCAAGGAACCTTGGGAGCAGCTGGGAGTGCGCCACTTCCTGGGGGTGAAGTTCTGTGGCAGGATAACAGTTCTCTCATCAGGTTTCAGACCTGGACTAGCAAGGATTCAGTTCTCCAGGCAGTACCAGGAGAACATTGGTGGGATTATCAGAGCTTTGGGGAGGGAGTTTCAGTAGGGTGTCAATTTCCCAGGAGATTGGTGATTTCAGGCTGTATCTGTCCCTCTAAGTGGGGTGGGATTGGGGCCAGGACATTATTATGTTGGGATGATTTGGGGGATTCATTCCCAGTGGAGGATTGCTTGAGGTTTGGACAGTGTTGGCTCGCCTGGGTATATCAAGCTGAGGGGGTATCAGGTGAGTTTAAGGGTCCTGGTTCAGGGCAGTATCAGAATGAGTTGAGGGTTCAGAACATACCGCTTTGGGAAGACTGAGGTGGTTCAGAGAAACAGCAGTTTTCCTGAGGGAATCATGTTTCAACACTGTAAAGTGAGTTTGGGGATTTCCCTTGGGAAGCCACATGAACCGGTGGGGGAATTATTGGATGGATTCAGGGGTTCAGGATCTCCATGGGGTGCATTTGCAGTAGTTCTGCAGTTATGGAAAAAGCTATTGGAATTTCTGATAAGGCTGGGGGTGGATCCCTCTCCAAAGCTATCAGGACAATTTCAGGGGTTATCAGATAGGTGCAAGATGCAATGGATTCCTTGGGGACATTAGGAGTACCAAATCCCCTGGAGTGTGGGCTCAGGGATACCTGGTCCCTTGGGAACACACTTTCAATTATATTTGGAGACCTCAGGCAGTAGCAGATCTGGTGTGGGTGGGGTCAGAGGCTACTAGGTGGGGCCAGAGTTCAGGTTCCCCAGAAGTGCATTCAGGAGGGATCTGCACGCTTTGGAAAACACAAAGTTCCTTGGGGAGCATCAAATAAGTGTACAGATCACCAGATTCCTTGGGGGTTGTGTCACAGGGTACCAGGGTCTGGTGGGTGTGCAGGGTACCAGGTTCCCAGGACATGGGGTCACAGAACACCAAGGTGCTCCAGGGATATTTGGTGAATTCAGGAGGTACCAGATCTCTTGGGGGAATTAGAAGGTGGTCTGAGGGAAAAGGAGGTACCCTTGGGGTGGGTTCAGGAGGTGATGTCTCTTGGGACAATATTCTCCCTCTCTACTCTGTGAAACCTGATGTGCCGTGCTGCACCCAGGTCTGGAGCCCCACACGCAAGAAATATATAGACCTGTTAGAGTGAGTCCAGAGGAGACCATGGAGATGCTCCCAGGGCTGGAGCACCTCTGCCATGGAGGTAGGCTGGGGGGGCCTGG